GGCCCCGGGGCCGCCATGAGGGCCCGGACTGGCGGCGTCTGAGCGCCGTGGACGTGGGCCGGGTGTCGCGGGAGGGGGACGTGGCGGCCCTGCAGGAGCACCTGGAGCACGTCACCTTCTGCAGCGCCGAGCGGGAGCGCTGCCCACACTGCCAGGGCCCCGCCGACCCGCTGCTGCTCAAGCTGCTGCGCCTGGCCCAGCTCTGCACCGAGTACCTGCTGCACTCGCAGGAGTACCTCAGCGCCCAGCTCGGCAACCTGGAGGAGGCCCTGCGGGCCGCCCAGGCCCAGCGCGACCAGCTGGGCAAGGAGGTGGCCCACCGCTCGCAGGAGATCAAGGGGCTCAAGGAGGAGTGCCGCCGGAGGAAGAAGATGATCAGCACCCAGCAGATGATGCTGGAGGCCCGAGCCAGCTACCACCAGGTGAGAGGAGAGGTCCTGGCGGCCCGGTCATCCACACCTTGCCAGCTCCGAGCCCAGCGGGGACAGGCGGCAGAGCAGTCCCGCTCTGCTGGGGCGCAGCCGCTTGCTGGGCGAGAGGCTGGCGCTGCAGGGACCGGTGACCCTGCAAAAAGGGAGTGCCTCGCTTGCAGGTGCTTCGCTTCCCATCTGTGTTTCACAGACGTTTGGCTGGTGTCAGAGACGTTTGGGAGAGTGCTACATCATCTTTAACAATTCCTCTTTTTACTAACAAGTGCTCTTTATTCTTGGATTCACTTTTGATGCATCTGAAGTGTCAGATACACACACATATAAAACCTGTGATAAGTGTGTTACTACTTTCTGTCTCTCCTTGCCTATCAGCTGCGTGGTCAGAAAACACACAGGGCAAGTACATCAGAACTGGTGCTACGCAGTAACCTGCCTGTCTGCGAGTTGTCACTTTCCTGCAGTAACATTCTCCAGGCACAAAGTTTCTATTTGTGTGTGTGACTCAGAAGTGACTCAGGCATGACAGTAAAGAGCCCCAGTCAGGTAGCTCATCCCTAACCCCACAACACTCTGTTCCATAAGGGTCTTCCCTAAGAGCCTTAGTACATTGCTGTTCTTACTCTCTGTGTCATGGCTGTCTGGTTTTTTGGGAGGGGTTTTTGTGTTCTTGGTGTAATAGTTTGGTTTAAATATTTTTCAGCTTCAGCATTTTTCAACAGGTTTCAGGAATGCAGACTGCATCTTCAAATGTAGTCTGAAGTCTAGAGAGTACACTGGACAGACTTGACATGATTTCAGGCTAGCTCTTTGTGTCTGTATGTTTAAAGACAGAGTTTTCTTCCTTTTTTTTCTTTTTAATTCTTGGGATACTAGCAGTCCTGACTGTTGAAAGTCTCCTTAATCATGGAATAGTTGCAGTATAGAAACAATGAAAGTTTTCTTATAGTGTGGACACTCTTATCCCACAATATAATACCAATTTCAGCAGGCTGGCAAAGTTTAATTTTTTTAAGACATCAGCCAAGTTGGCTCAAGGGTTTGTGTAAGGGAAAAGATACCTTATGCCCCAAGAGCAGAGCTATACATATGGTAGATTTCATGAGAACCTTGTCTCAATGCATTCATTTAAGTGTTAGTCTTAAGGACAACCTGCTGATGTTGAATCATTTTAAAAAGCATTTATGCAACTTACAGAGCAGTTTGTCGGTCCTGTGTTGCAAAAGAAAACTAATTGCATGCATAATTTTATGTGTAAAGTTAAGTAATTCTCATACTGTGATTGCCACTCAAATATTACCAAGTTTTCCTGAAATGTTTGTAGCATACAACTGTCTCTGTGGAAGCTGAAGAACATGGTAGTGATCTTGGCTCATCACTAATCTTATGTTCAGTGGCATTTACAAGAAAGCAGAGATGGAAATCTATTTCCCATTTTTAGTTTAATTTCATATAAAGTAAGTGTCTGCCCTCCCCCCTTTTTCCCTCTCTGTTAGTAAATTCTTGTCTCCATAAGTTATTTAGGTTCACATGGGAAAAGTGAGTTCCGGGAGTGATGTTGAACAGTTCCTACAGTGTTTTCAGGATTCTGAGTGTGAAAGACTGAGATGAATTAAACTCTTCCTAGGGTTTGTAAATGCAGGGCAGCAGTGTGATCAGTGAATAATAATTGTGTGTTATTTATGTGTGCCATGATCTTGGCTGATCTGCAGTGCCAGGTCATCATAAGGGTTTTGCTGGTGTTCTCGAGAGGGTAGTTCAGGTTTCATCCCCTTAAAGTCTTGGCTGTTTAGTAAACAAACCTGTAAATAGTTGTTTGCCTTTTTTAGTGGAGGCACACCTTATATCTAACGTAACCATGCTTTGGAATTCAGATTTAATGCCTTTAACCCAGCACCAATATAAGTTCGACCACGAAATACTACTGTAAAATGGTACTGGTACCTACAAGTCATAAATTTAAGACTCGTTGGTCAATACCTTCATCTGAGTAATACAAATTTAATTTTAGATAATAATTTTTAATCTTACATTCTCGTGCACAATGTAGGCATAAAGTGCACGTTGTGTCTAACACTGTAACAAGTATTTGCAAGAATGTTACATAACTGAAAACCTAAATATTCCCTGTGTTAATCCTGTCTCCTGCAGTAAGAGCTTGCTTTCACTATCAGCAAGTCAAACTGACATGAAGTTTGTGCTTGAATGGACAACATTATTTCACAGCCAATTTAAGTCCATAAATCATGTGCAGCCTGTTACACTGTGAGCTCCCTCTTGGTTGGCAGTAATGCTTTGCTGCCATACTACATCTCTTTACTTCAGTTTTATGTTAGCACTTTTTTGCATTTGTCCAACAAAATATGTCTTAATAATTCATGACTTTAGTGTTTGCTGAAAGATACCTATACTTAACAGCCTACCTGACTATCAGTGGCAGTATTTTAAATATTAGATGAAATCTGGGAATTTGATTATGGTGACAAGGTCTTGAATCCATTAAGTTAGTCTCTTACAGTCATATCATATTGATAAGGAAAAAGGACTCAGCTGAGTATTTGTGGTTTGTTAAAATATATTTATTTGAAAAAAAAATACTTATTTGAAAGAAAGAAGTAACAAGCAACCCTACCTAAAGTGATTAGAGGCTTTGATTCACAGTCTTACCAGTATATTGCAAAACCCATAGATGTTGCTTCTGTCCTTGTACTACCCATCCGTTTTTAATATTCTGAACATTAGTGGAATATACTTCGAAGGTGAACAAAAAAAGTCTTTGAAAATGGGTAGGATCCAAATTTGACTTAAAATATAACTTCAAATTCAAAGCTAATATGTAAATTATAGGAACAGTAATTTAAACAGTTTACACTTCAGAAGGATGCTAGGTAGCATACTAGCGTATGTATGTACTTTTTCTTGCAAAATTATGTATTGTTACCTTATTTTGTTTGAAATGTCTGACCTTTTTACATATCTATGGTCCTTCCAGTATTGTCATCTTACAACTCACTTATGTATACTCAAACACATCTTTATTGGGTTCTTGTTTGGTTTTTTTTTTTTTTTACCGTTTGGGGCCTCTTTTTTGCTGTGATAGAAGAGTCTTAAATACCCTGGGCTTTATGTATACTCAAACACATCTTTATTGGGTTCTTGTTTGGTTTTTTTTTTTTTCTGACCGTATGGTGCTCTCTTTTGCTGTGATAGAAGAGTCTTAGAATACCTGAGCTGCTAGTTGGCTGGAGTCCGTGTGTATTTTGCCGAATAACGTTGTCTTACTTTTTCCTTATACTTCTCTACCTATCTGGATTTATCTCTTATCTGTGGTTTATGTCTGAATTTAAACTTACTTGGTCAGAGTCTTTTTTGTTCAGAGTTTGTACAGTGCCTCGCACAATGGGATTCTTACCCATGACCATCACCAAGAGACATAAAATAATGCAAATATATTAATAACTTCACAGAAATCTGGCACTGTGGGAATTGTAGTCATTATTCTTGTGAAATGGAATTTATTAAAGTTACCTACTTTTGACATCTGGACAAAATGTAATAACCTGTTAAATACCTTAACCGCTATACTTACCAAACGGATGTTACTAATAATAACTAAAATATTTTTGTCTGGTTTTTGTAGTGTCAGTTTTGTGAAAAGGCTTTTATGAACTACTCCTTTTTGCAAAGTCACATGCAAAGGCGTCATCCAGAAGAATCTCAGATTGGTATGTACTTCAGTGTTACCAAAGAAATGGAGACAAATAGTTTAGACAAGTGTAAATATAGTGAGGATGTGCAGTCCGTGATTTTGTGTCACTGGGAAGGATGATTTTCACGTTCCACTTTTAGGTGGCAGATGCCAATTTGTGTGAATAGAAGCAACACTGACTGACAAAATGTATTGGGCGACATATGTTTCAGTCTCTGGAAAATAATTAACAAAACTTTGTATGCCATATTTATAGTACCTCTCCAAACTAGCATTCCCACTGAATACTTTATTCAGTAGCAGAGTTCAGAGCACAGTTTCTCTTTAGGCATGTGTGCTATGAAGGTGTGGGTAAAATGAACAAGTTGCGCTAAGGCAAATACCTTTTGTGAATACATATGAATTATCAGTAGAGAAATAATCCAGCTCACCTGAAATCAGTTTGAATAGGATCAGGCTCTCCTGAATGAAACTGACTGTAAAATATAGTGAGAAAAAGAAACTGTCAAGGATAATCTGACTTCATGTATCTATAATAATCTTGGTTGCTATACCACTAACTTATATACTTTTGTCTCTCTTCATTGAAAAATGTTTAATTTGAAAAACATTGCTCTCAAAGTTTGTTTCATTCATCTCTCAATTCTCTCCTTCCTGTTAGGCTGCACACTTATGATTTATTGCTAAGGACTAACAAGTATTGACAAATGACAGTGATTAGAAATGAACGAGTTAGGAAAAAAGAGCATTTGGGAGGAGAAAGAGTGGGAAGAATCTAGCGAGGTCTGAACTGTAGCTTGTCAGAAGAATAGAACAGCAGGAAAAGCGAGAGGGGTCTGAGTAGGCATCTGGGGAAGTGTTAATGTATTGGAAGAAGAAAGAAGCTCTTGTCCACTTTGTACTTGATAGAAATGATAGTGGAAGGAGCTGCAGAACCAGTTTAACCAATTATCATATAAAGAATTAGTCTGAAGTGGCTGTATGAGGGAAATACTCTATGCATTTATTTCTGAAATAATATTCTGCATTGTGCTCAGATTTCCAGACAATGGGCAGCCTAGTAAGTCCTGGGTAAATTGATAAAATGTTTCAAGAGTAAAGATTGTTATAATTTTTGCGTATTTGTAAAATGTTTTTCACAGTGACATTCCGCTTGACTCATTCCAGATAAATAAGTTGTATTTCAAATGGACTCCTTACTAAAGTTATTTAGAATAAATTAAGCCTAAAAGAACTGAATCATTGAGGTTCACTTTGTCCTTCATACATCCTTTTTTAAGCCTGTGTTGCTTAGATTCCTTTGAAATTAGATTATATAATACTTTTTCCTGTAAATATTTTATAAACTATTTCACATGTGAGTAATACTGATATTTTTCAATCTTTGAGGTTGTTAGCAGTCCAGAGAACATACGTATTTAAAAGCATCTTTGGAGACTCATGATAGTAGGAAGGGAAATGGTCTATGCGAGTCACACTTCATGACGATGTTATTGAAACACTACAGAAATGCATTTGCAGTAAGTATCACATTTCCAGAAATTACAACAAACATTTTTAAAATCTGTGTTTCTTTCAAACAGAACAGAAGAGGAAAGCAAAGACGGACAAATTGCAGGATGAGATTGAGAAACTGAAGGAGCAGTTGCAGCTCACCAAGTCCCAGTTAGAGGCTGAACAACAGGCTAATATGGTCAGGTTTTCTAAGGTAATACGTAGTAAGTAATGCGAACCTTTCAAAAGAATTAGTACTTTGGGCTGTGTTCACTCATTTTGTAACTGGAACAGAACAATAATATATCTACAGCTTGCCTGTCTGGCAGTGATGGTGCTTGGGCATTAGAACATAGCCCTGCCTCGCCTCCCGTAATTTAGAACATCCACTTTCTCCTTACTTTCATTTTAGGCATATTTTAAATGAATACTCGAGATAAGACTTCCGTTAGCACTTAGCAGTTCATAAGATGTGTGGCCTGTTATTGAAGCAGATGAAATTGCCTTGCTGTGGTGAAATACAAGCTATTTTTGACATTATGATATTTTGTGATGATTAAGCGTTTCTTAGATACGACTGTGATTTTACATGTGACTTTATAAACTGAGTAGGATTTATTCTTTGCTGTGGAGAGCTTTACTGTCTAACAGAGGTGTAAAGCAGTTCAAGGAAGAGAGACTGAGAAGAAACAAAGCAATCTAGAACTTGTGTGTTGGTCTTTACGTCCTTGAGAGCCAAAGCAGAAAGTAGTCTTAGCTACTGCTGTGTGAATAAAAAGACCTTAAAACAGAATGATTTAAAAGCAGTGATTATCTATTTGTAATCACATGCAAAGTTTTGTTTAGGATGATATTGAATCTTGTAAGTACGCTTACTGACTCATAAAGAGAAAAAAGAATCTCTAAGTTACTGGTTTAATTTTTTTTTTAACGCTTGATAATTTGAGATCATCTCACAGTTTTAATTTCTGTTTAAGTAAGTGCAATCAGATAATTTGCTGTCAAAATAGGGATGGAAATTTTTTTAACAGGGGAGGGACTTTGCACTTCAATTTGAGAAGCAAATTCTTGGCATAAGAGACAAGGTATTTCTAATGATTGAGTTAAATGCTGATCTTTGTGTTGCAGTTTTCCCTGTATCATATTCAAAAGCAGCGTTTTGTGGTTGTTAACATAACGTGTAAGAACTTTCTCCCAATATTCAGAACTTCTAAATGGCTTTCCTAGTGGAGTTTGAGGACCTTCAAACATAAACCCAACCATTACATTTGGAAACAAATGCTGCATTTTGAATTTAATGGGAATAAACAAAACATGGTTATCATTAATTATTTTCTTCCTTGTTTACAGAAGAAAGCCCGATCTTTTGTAAAACATGCAGTGTTTCTTTCCCTGAACACAGCTTCAGACTTTCCTTTCTTCAGTCCTCTCGTACTCCTTTTCTCGAGACCATTCAGCTTCCTGGTTTTTTTCCATTTTCAAAAGTACTGTGTAGAGTTTCACTTAGGAGTGCAAGCACTGTCAGAATAATGGGCCTTGGCCCTATGTGGACATCTGCTAGGTATTCTGCTCATTCTTTCTGTGCCTCGCTTTTGAGAGGTACATCTGTAACATATTTCTCTTGCCCCGAAGCGTTGTTTTTCTTATGAGATGGAACTTTGAGTATTCATAACAGTGCAGTGTAGATTTTTTGGTGCCTTAGGGGCTTATTTTGAAGTCATTTGTCTTAGCTGAGACTCCTAACTACAAGGGGACTGCCTGAAATGTCCTGAAGCTACAGCCTGCAGTGTTACACAACAAGAAGCTTTCAAAGCTTCTGTGTTTTTTTGGGATGTCAGGGAAGATAGAAATGTGAAGTGTGACTGGCTGCAGTTTGTCTGCCATGACTGACATCCACTGTCAATTCAGGTATCATTATGTTGTTGTCTTTGGATTGAAAGAGCAGAAGATCTTTTCTCCTGTGTTGTTTTTAGGAGAACCACTACTGGCGGGAATTTGGATAAAAACTATCATGCTTCCACTTCTTGGTTCCTTCTACTCCATTGAGGTGAAAGGATACAGAAGGTCCCGTTCTTCATAATGATTGCTTGTTATAGTTAGTCAGAGAACAAATTCAGAGTGAATGCTGTGATGGAAAGATGTAGGGGTTGCCTAAAAAGTGTGTATATTCTGAGCGGTGAAATGCAGGACTTTGAACAAGTTGAGGACTATACAAAAATGAGTGAGTAGGTAATGGAATGTTAAAAGTAATTTAACAGATGAAGTGGGACAAATGTATATGGGGAAAAAATAATTCTAACTTCGTCTACAAAATGATGGGTTCTGAGCCGAGTGTTATTACTGAAGGGCAAGATCTTAAGGTTGTGATACATAGTTCCAGGGAAATGTCAGCCCAGTGGTTATCAGCAGCCAGCAAATAAATTCAAATATTATAAATTATTCTGAAAAATCACTGTGCAAGCCACAGCTTAAATACTGTGTGTAGGTCTAGTCCCTTCATCTCAAAAAGGATATGATGGAATTAAATACCCTGGAGGTATTTAAAAGATGTGTAGATGTGGCACTTAGGGACATGGTTTAGTGGTGGACTTGGCAGTGCTAGGTTTACGGTTGGACTCCATGATCTTAAAGGTCTTCGCAGACATCAGTATCTCACCCTCCATTCCCACCAACCTGTTGTCTTTTTTTGCAGACTGACAACTGTTAGCATGCTCAGCCGTTCTAAATACAGACTGCGAAGTCATGAGTTACATAGAGTGAATAGGTATCAATCATTCACTCTTCTCCAGTTCAGGACCTAGCATCCATCAAATGAACCTAGCAGGAGCCAGATCCAAAGCGAAAAAAAAAGTACTTGGCTCTTCATGCAACTTGTAGTAGCTTTGTGGAGCTCATTGGTGAAAGATGTTGCAGTTGCTAAAAGCTGACATAGCCACAAGGGACGACTGCAAAAGTGTATGAGGAGATAGGTATCAAAGGTTACTAAGTTTACAATACTGTATCAGGCTGAGGAAGTCCTCTGAGCGGAAAACAGTGGGCAGCTTGGAGACTATTAAGGAGAACGTGCGTGTTTGCTTGCCCTGTTATTATCCTTTCCCACCTATAGACTTACAGCCTCTGTGAGAAACGGGATGCTGAACTAGGTTGATCTGTGGTGTGACCAAGTAAGGCCATTCATGTGTTATTCAATGAAAAATAATGAACTACCAATACTTCTTGAAATGTACTTGTTTTGCTAGCAAAATGTATAGTTTGCTGCCCCAGAATTCTTGAGAAACTGGTGTTTTTTCATGTTTTTTTGATGTCACAATGTTGCCCATTGAAAGTGACTGCTTCCCACACATAGTTTGGGTGCTTGAATGTGGGGAAAAATAACGAGTAATGTTTTTAAAATAATTTCAGGAATGTGAACAGCAAAAATCAAAAGAAGAAGAAATTCTACAATCATTTCATAAATGGAAAGAGGAGGAAAAAGAGAAATTGGCTGATGAAATAGAAAAAGTGAAAGAGATGTTTATGAAAGAGCTTAAGGAGTTATCTTCAAGAAATTCAACATTAGAAAACGTAAGTGACTTAAATTTTCCAACGTTTTAAGGCATGAATCCCTTACAGTAGATGGTAGTGAACTTCACATATTTGAAATGTGATGTAGTCATCTTAGATGTCTTCTTACAAAACTTTAAAAATAATAGTTGGATGATAGCCATAATTGTATCTTTGTATACTGGTACTTTATTAACATAATTTCAGTTATTTTTTTTAATAGCATTGTTTTGGATGAATTAATTATGCCTTCAGCAGCTATGTCAGTTTCTTCTTACTCCTCAGCTTTTGAGTCCGTGTTTACAGATTAGTAGCTATTGTTATTATTGCTGTCTGTTAGGTATCCTTATATTAATATTCTTATAACTGGCATGGAGGGGACTAACCTCTGCATTATAGTCCTGACAGTAGAACTGCATGTGTTTTCAATACATGCTCTGGAAATGCTTTCCAGAGTTTTGACTAGAAAGAGAATTGTGAAAGTATAGATGAGTCAGAAAACGTTACGCACGGCATTACCAGAGCCGCTTATGTTTTGTAGCTGCTAGTTCCTGTGTATTTTTGCAAGGTATCTTTATGTTAGATGTATATATTAATTATTACACGAAATTTGATAAATGCTGAACTCATGAGAAATGCGAGAAGTGACTGATGCAATCTCTGTGTAGTTATATTTAAAGTAAAGTTTGTATTAAATGACAGTTTTATAAAACAAAATCTGTATACATATTCAGGTCTTCGTTTTCCCCCCCCCCCCCGCCTTTTAGCAACTGTTAGAATTACAAAAGTCCAATATGCAACAAAAATCCAATTTAGGGACACTGAAAGACAGCCAAGAATTTACAGAAGAGAAACCTCAGAGTCCTCAGGATTATCACAATGTGGTTAAACTTCTTGAAAAACAGGTAACACTCTAACTTAATGTATCGCTTTTGACAGACTACTTGTGTTCTTTTCATTTTTGTACATCTCTGAGTAGGATTTTAAATCCATAAGTAAAATTCTCATCCTTCTCAATGTCTAAAATAGCTGTTTTTAAAGATCTACTACTATTTAGTACAATCTCTAGAATGGAAATCAAGGAATTATTTCCCTTATCTTTTATACGTAAATTAATCGTTATTTATTTATTGATACTCTCTTATTCTTTATTATTAAATGTATTAAGCTTTACCAAATATGGTTGCAGTTCAATTCCAGAAGGCTCTAATACACCATTTATGTCTGCTGATCTGTGAGGCCACTTATGGAAAAATTGGAATTTTCCATTTTCCAAGATGGAAAAAAAAAAGGTTAAGAAACTTCCTGACAGGATTTATCAGCCTGTGGCTTTTGAGTCATATGAAGCACTTGAGCTTGTCAGGTGCAACTTCTGTACGAGGAGTGTACCATCTGACCAGCACAGGTGGTGGGTGGTGCTAGTGCAAAGCTGTTGGACAACCCAGGTCCTACCTGTAGGAAGGATTGAGCTCACAAGGGCTGCTGAGGCTGAGGTCATTGCATTGTTCTGAGACTCACCTGCATGTCCGGGTTGTTCCTATTAAAGAAATGAGTTGTGAGGCTTTTGGAAATACCCACAAACCTTTTAACTATGTTTTTTTTCTTTTTTGACAATTTGAGACACGCATTATATACTTTATGGTTCTTGGGGTGTGAAGGTCTTTGTATACTGCTGGTATCATACAGAAGTTTGGTCACTTCTGCTCAAAGATGTGGAAAATTTAGTGAGTTTTACTTTGGTTTTTTTATTTCATCAAAAACAAATCAGTTCACTCTACAACTCATACATTAATACTGGGTTTTATCGTCATTATGCAAAATACGTTGTTAATAAGTGCTTGAAATGACAATATTTGGGGGGGAAAAACCCTACTCTTACTAATCTTATTGTTAATACACAGAGATATATCAAAATACTTGTGTATTTCTCACTCGCAGTCACTATATATACAAATCAAGGAGCAAATACGTAGTTTCTAGAGCGATTGGTAAGAAAACCGCACTCGGATGGATAAAACGTTGATGACTGTTCTAGGTATTAAGTACGGGGTTACTCAAGTTTCATATCATCAATAATCTTTTCAGTATTTATGCTTTATTTAGGAAAATAAAGCTGCATATATCAAACTAAATGGTAACGTGTTATTAACAGGAATTAATATTGATTTCCTCTATGCAGGAAAGTAAGTGGACGTCTAGAATACAAGCCCTTCATCATGACCATGAGACAGAAAAGTCCCTGGTAAGTGGCACAGCAAAGCACTTAAACTAGAAGGAGACTTTTTTCTTATCCTTTCAGTAGTTCTTGATATGCTATAATACATCTGTTGGATTAGAAAGCCTAGATCTCAAGAGTTTATAAGAGTGTGTCCTCTTAGATGTATTTATTATCTCTGTATTTCCGTTATGCTAGAATCTTGAAGTTTCAGTTAAGGCCAGAGTTGAAATGGAATTTATCATTTAAGAATGTGACAGACGCTTGAAACTGTAGCTCTGTTCTGAAAAGCTCACAACTAATTCTGTGAGCACTGTATTATACAGTGTTTTCCGTGTTATGTGAGTATGCTGGATAGTTGAGATATAACTTGCTAACATGTAGCTTTCATCTACCCTGTACCTTCTGCTACCATGGACCTATGGCATACGTCTCGATCTTTTTTTGTCTTTTCTATCACTTCTCTGCTGCTTTTTCTGTTATAGCTTTCTAATGCAGAATCTGTTCAGCTTTTCCAGGAAAAAACACCATGGCATTTTATTTTGCCTCAGTTTATATATTTTACTATACAAAGCTTTATTCCTCAGATTTTTTTTTTTATGTCTGCATTTCTTTTTAATCTCTATCCTGCTTTGTTTCTCTTGCTTCTTTTCCTTTCATTTTCCTTTCATCTGCGTGACCATGTAAGAACTCAGCAGATCGTAGTGGTCTGACCAATGCTTCTTCTCCTCTGGCAAGAAAGCAGTGGGGAGGAACCATGGAACGTTCCCCAAAAAGGATGTAGTTAATGATACACCTGTACAAAGCAAGAATAGAATAAGGGAGGAGTAATGTAAGTATTACTTTTGGGATGGTGCATCTAAAGTATTGTTCCCTTTCTTCTACATTCAGAACTAATATATTAGGTTTATCATGCAAATTCACATCTCATCACCTTCAAATATCATGATTTGACACTATTTATAACCAAAGCATTTTTATAGAGCGGTATGCTTTTTCCCACAATCTTATTTTTTAGACAATCTCAGCAATGTGTTTGTATGTCCCTTTCTTTGTATTGAGATTTAGGTAGTCTTCCTTGTGTAAATAAAAAGTGATCCAGACGACTGTTTTGTAATATATGCAAATCCCAGTGAAATCACAGGAGACATTATGTTTTTGCTGGGAAAAGAAGTGTTACAAATATTTAAGCATGACACTTGGTTGTTTAAACTTCGCAGCATTAAAATATTTTATATAATATTAATATGAAGTCACTTTTCTTCTGATTGCTTTCTAGCTACTATCACAGATTGAGAAGCTTAAATCATCAGTGAGAGAAGACCTGAATAAAAATAACACCTTTTACAAGAGGAGAATAGAAGAACTGGGGCAGAGGCTTCAGGAGCAGAATGATCTGATTATTACTCAGAAGAAGCAGGTCTGTTTTGTGAAGCACTCTGTGTTTCAGAGAGCATAGGACATAGAGAAACATTTTACTAGCTTTCAGCCTTTGATATATCTCTGATTGCATAGTTAATATTCCCAATTCGTAGTAGTACTGAGGCAGTATTTTGGTTACACTTTGGAAATTATGTTGATAAATAAGAATAGATCTGGAAAGAGACACAGGAATGTAAACCAGGAATTAAAACACAATTTAGAAGGAAAAGATTAGTAAACCAAAGTTTTTAATAAGTTCAACACAGTTAAAAAATTACTAGGTCACAGTCACCGAAGACCTCTACAGATGAAAAATTTCTGAGAGTGAACTGGATTTAATCTGCCACAAAATAATCACAATGAAATCTAGTGTTTGAAATCTGAAAATACATGACTTCTCACACTAAAAATAAAGTATTATATTTATCACTGTGAGAATAATTAATTAAATTATTACCGTATGAAATTTAACAAGAGCAAGTGCCAGATTCTCCACCTGGGACGGCATGATACTGGTTATATGTACAAATTGGGGGACAAGAGGCTGGAGAGCAGCCCCGCAGAAAGAAATCTGGGGGTTTGGGTTGATGGCAAGTTGAATATGAGTCAACAGTGTGCCCGGGCAGCCAAAAGGGCCAACTGTGTCCTGGGGCACATCAAGCAACAGCGTACCTAGCTGGTCGAGAGAGGTGATTGTCCCACTCTACACCGCACTGGTGCGGCCCTACCGTGAGTACTGTGTGCAGTTTTGGGCACCTCATTGTAAGAAGGACATCGAACTATTAGAGTGTGTCCAGAGGAGGGCGACCAAGATGGTGAAAGGTCTCGAGGACAAGACTTACGAGGAGCAGCTGAGGTCACTTGGTTTGTTCAGCTTGGAGAAGAGAAGGCTGAGGGGTGACCTCATCGCAGGCTTTCCTCAAGGCGGGCAGTGGAGGGGGAGGTGCTGATCTCCTCTCTGGTGACCAGCAATAGGACACGAGGAGGTGGAAGTTCAGATTGGACATTAGGAAAAGGTTCTTCACTGAGAGGGTGGTCGGTCTCTAGAACAGGCTCCCCAGGGCAGTGGTCGTGGCACCAAGCCTGTCAGAGTTCAAGGAGCATCTGGATGACACTCTTAGACGTGTGATTTAGTTTTAGGTAGTCCTGTGAGGAGCAGGGAGTTGGACTTAGTGATCCTTGTGGGTCCCTTCCAACTTGAGATAGCCTATGATTCTATGAAATTATTTATTTGGAAATGAATTGGTTTTTCTTAAAAATTCGCTTTTGTTCAAACATAACTAGAGATTTCTTCAGGTGATCGGTGGGTGAAGATCTGGGTGGTCTGGAGTTTAGACTATAGCATGATTATGTGGTCCTTATAACCTATTCCTCTACTAGATGGTGCATTCCTTACAATTCAACATCTAATTTTACACATTTTGAGATTAATGTTAAATCTATACTTAAGTGCTTAAAGAATTGGAAAGACATAATAGCTTTTACATCTGCACTTGAACGAATTTGATAGCTGGAGCAGTAGAAGACTTAATCCTAGACAAATGACTTGCAGTAAAGTGACCTTTTAAAACAAAACAGCATGACCACAGATGTAAAATAGGTTCAGAGGGATTTGAGTTTGGTGTTTGTGAAATACAGTTGTGAAGATCTACGTTCTCAATACCTGGAAACTGGAAAGGCTTGAGAAATGGCTAACACTTTTGTAGAATCCAAACTGAATGGACAATGAATTGAGGCACTACTGGCTATATCTAAACAGATAAATAAAAGAGGACCAGGGTCCAATATCTTGTGCCATCTCCAGCTGACACTGACTGTGTGTCTGTGTGGTTTGGGTTTAGCTTCTATTTTGGGAATTGGCCTGCAGAACATTGTTTTAATGATATAGGATTCATAAGTTTCCTGTTTTCTTTAGATTGAATTACAGCCAGCTTGTTTCCTCTATGCTCTCAGTTTTGTTCAGTGCATGTCTTGGGTTTCAAATAGACAAAACTATAGAGCAGACAGGAGAACTATTCATATATTTAAAATCAATGTGTAATTAAGTGGTTCCCTCGAGTGGAGCTAGACTTGCAAAATTGAACATGAATTGCTGAAGCAGAAAGTATTGAAACTGTAAGTGCTGAAGTGGCCCATAAGCCCACTCTTATTTCACTTTGTAGCTTGTAATAACAGGCTGTACAAAGCATGAGTTCACATAAGACAACAAGCAGAAATAAGTCTTCAGCATTCATTAAGCATGAACAAAATATGCATTAGGCAATAGAATAGAGTTCCACAAAAGTAGTACTTTTCTCCCCAAATCATAAACAATAAGTTCTGTTATGAAACAGTACTGAAACTAGGTATGTTGTACTACATGTGCATTTCTAGATATTGATCATTTGTATTTGTAACTATTCATGTGTCTGTCTTTTCTCTTTTAGATAAAAGAATTGTCCACAAGATCAGTTGCAAGCATTAAACCATATGATGGTACGTACAAACTGTAAGAAAAAGCAGATTTTGTTTCTGATTTCAGCAGCTTGGCTGAAACAAATGTTACAATTCATTAAAAAATACAGACATCAGCTTTACTAACTAAATATTGAAATCAAATCAGTACTGGCAATTTATTTATGTTTCACAGGGTGCCTACCTGTTTCCATGCCACGATTTTCAAAATTCATGTTTTGCAGCTGTAAGGACTGCTAAGGTACCAAGTTGATTGCTTGAGTAGTGAAGAGATGTGAAATATAGCAACTCTATTTTGTATTATGTAAACAACTTCTGGCTTTGCTTTATGAAGTGTAATTTTAATTGTTTTTTCATGCTTGACTGTTCTTAAGCTGCAAAACTCACAAAAGGGAAAATACTGAAAGAGTAGGCAAAATTGATTAATTTATCAGTTAAGATACAGATGTTCAAAGAATTTTAAGAACTGTGATGTTTTTGTCTGTGCAATGCTTTAACATCTGAGGCCCATTACAAATAGCTAAACCTGATAACAGTATTTTGGGATGCAGTCCTGCACCACAAACACCCATATAGTTGATGCTGCAGTTGTAGTCACTTGAAATAAGTTTATTGCAATAGGTGGTGGCAGCTGGATTAATTCTAATCCCAGTTTGGAAACCATCTTGCTTTATTAGCAGGACATTGGCTTGAACTGAATTTAGCAGCCCGGAGTAGGTTAGTTTGAGGAGAGCATACGGCTGTATGGCTTCTCAACTGGAGCTGGACATATTCAGCCACGCCGAAGCACAAACCGTGGCACACAAGTGAATTTGCTTCTAGGTCCTAAGCTGATCTGAGGAATGTAGAATTGAAGTGATAATTCACTCCAAGGCTACACTCTATACATGGTATATATAAGGTTTGCACTAATTGCCACAAAGCGTGGATCTTCTTTGGGGAATACAAGTGTTGATCAGGCTAGACTTGACTAAGTAGCTTTGGGGCAGGGCTTCTTACCTGGGACACAACGACAACATACAGACATGACCAAAGAGATGATCTGACTAGTGCAGGTTCACATTCCAGTTCAGTGACAATTTAATTACTAGTTTCTTTTCCTGGTTCTAGAAGTATTAACAATCTTAAGCATATCTAGAGATGTACTTTTACATTGTGAAGGACCAATTTTTACTTTGTAAACTATTTGTTTACAATAATATGCCCAAAATTGGGTAATTTGTAAATATGATTAAATATTGCAACATTTATGAATCTGTATATGTCTTTTACTGTTTACTGTAATACATTTACATTATTTTTTACTTCTGTGCTATTGTAGTGAACACTACTGTGGAGCATCTTGAAGAATCTAAACCAAGTCTATCAGTGACACATGGTAAGTTTTTTTCGATAGGTCCAGACCCAGTACTTTCAAATCTAACACTCTGTCTTCTCAAATGTGTTGCTTGTCAAATCATAGCTGTAAGAGTAGTTACCCTGAAAGAACATAATTTGAATTGCTTTGCTGTATATCAGCATTGAGAATTCCTATGAAGTGATTGTAAAGACGCACTATTGAAAAGAATAAATGAAAATGGAAATAAAATAATTTGAGACTTATTTCCTGGGACGTGTATAGTATTGGAGCACTTTAAGGTAAATTAAACTAATTGAGGAAATAAAATTATGTTTTCTTCTAGAAAATATACTTATTTTCTGGTAGATGCATATACTGGATAGGTATGTGGGTAAACTGGAATTTGTGTAGAGGAAAATGTGGAGATGTTTGGAGAAGTCTTGAAATATTGTATTTTTCATGTGACTTCAAATGTCAAGGAGGAAAAATAGAGAAGACTTAATCAAAATAGACAGTCACCCCGTCTAGATGGTTCTTCCGGAGTATATCTGTAGTTACATATAGATCATCATTTAGTTATTTTAACTCGTGGCATTGTGATATTGTTTAGTAGTGGGGGGAAGCGATGAACCTCCATTTATATTGTTTGGTGCTTTGTGAAAATAGTTTTCACTTTTTTCTCAGTATGCAAAATAATGGAGAGTATTGTTACCATACCAATATTCTGCGATCAATTAATTCTTTACTTTCATTTCAAGTAGGAAAGTAATAGGAAAAATGAATGTTGAGCAAGTAAAATGTTTAAATGTTAAACCCATTTTATAAATTGAGTTATTGAACTATAATGAAATAATGGGTTTTTTTAATTATTATTTCTCTTCGTTTTAAAACCCGTCAAGGGGAGAAGAAATGGAATTTGTCTAAGAATAATGTACAGATTTTTTCTTTTCCAACAAATTCAAAAAGTTATGAAAAGGCATATGGGGAGAAGGAGCAGTATACAACGGAAGCTTTAGATAACTTGATGAGGAATGAAAAACTGTTGTTTTTCATTTTTTTTTGAAGTGTTGATTTCAAAATATTTGTTGTGTCAAGAACTATTAAACTAAGGACAAGAGATTTTCATTATATGGTGAAATTATTTTAATAATACAGAGATTTCTTACTAACCTATGCAAGGTAGCTGTTCATTGCTGGAAGCTTTTTGAGTGAAACTACATAGATGAAATGTTGTGTGGAGAAGAGTAATACTATATTAAATAAAGATTATTAATAATAGTATTTTAAATAATCCAATTATTTTTCATTCAAACCAGCATCATTGCACTAACCCAGTAGTGCTGGTTCTAGCTAAGAGATCTCACAGCAAGTAGCTTAGCTATTGTCCTGAATTCAAGAAATGAATTTTATGAAGAATATTGCTGCTAAGGGCTTACACACCAAGCTTGTCAAGCGTTGCTTTCTTAGTGCATTTACTTTCCTTTGGACTGAGGAGGAAAACAGTTCCGTGAACCATAGTATTTTCTGTACTCTGACAATTTATATCAGCTCGTTCAGATCTTTCCTAATTTCTTGCTGCTCCAAAAAATGAAGTTTGTGACACCTTATGAAACTTCTCAAGATAGAAAAGGCTGTTCCTGCCATTGATATACAAAAGATTCACTATCAGTTTATTATGAAGCCTCAAAGAAGGTGTTTCCTTCAGATTCCTTTGCTGATGATTATTTTATTTATCTCTGCAGGTTTCCCTGTCTGTCCCCTTTCTTCCCTTCTGGATTTTTTTTAAACTTACCCTACCTAATTTCTGGATGTAAAGGTTAGCAGAAATTATAGTGTCTTTCCCAAAACTTTGACGGCTCCTCAAGGGATTGACTTACATACTGAATTAAGACATCATGGCTGCATCTTGTGCCATTATGAAAATGAAAGTGCTTACTGGTAACTTCTGTACACAAATTTATTTAGCAGAGCATCTCTGAAATCACAGGAGCTATAGTTTTCCTACCAAACAATTGCCTGCATATGGAATATCTTCCTTTTCTTTCTTTTTTTTCTGTTTGAAAAAAAATTAATTCCGGAAGAGGCTCTCTTACGTGAACTTAAGTACACTTTTCAAAGTTGCCTGAAAGCTTTTGCATCCTAAGATTAGTTCTGCACGTCTTAAATCTGCGCTATGAAAAGATACCCAAATTACAAATGAGGTATCTTAGGTGTAAAGTAGTGGAATAACTGTGTTAGCCTGGTGCTTTTGTGTTCACCTTCCTGATTTCTTAGGAGAGCTAATAGTCTGCCTTGAATGCCATCCTGGCTGACCATTCTTCTCTCAGTTTCTGAGCTAGCTGTAGGGTTTTGTGCAAATACAACTTTAGTCTTATGTTCAAAGATTACTTAAGTCTCACAAAAAAGGCAATGGATTAGTTATGATTTTTTAAAATCAGACTTTGGTTCCTATATTACTCTGGAAATGTTGATACTTGTTCAATATTTAATCTTCGTTAGGTCGATAATAGTAGGTGGAATTGAAAACAGTAGTTAAAAAGCATAGATATTAATTAGATTGTCCATTAAAACCTATGACTCAGTCTTCAAATATGGTGTGGGCCCAGGTATCGTTAGGGACGTAACTGAAGCATCTGAGGAAAGTTTAGTCAAAGTAGTCTTCCTAGACAGTTAACAGAGAAAAGGGGCACCTTCAGAGTTTGGTTCAGCTGAACTGAGATCTGAATTGCTCTTTGAAGTTGCCTGTGTCTCTTCGTTGACTGTAGAAGGAGTCTGCGATGACTAGGCTCCCAACTTAGAGGCCTCAGGTAAGTGTCAAAAATTTATTGTATTTAAGAATATTAGTTAAAAATTAATATTTATGCTGCTTATGGGCAGTATATGGCTTCCCATTGATTAGTTAGGAGAAAAATATATGAAGTGCATTGATTCAAAGGTGACAGTCAAGATTACAGATATCACAGATTAAGTCTGGCAGCTCTTTGGATGTGAAATTTGAGTATAAATTAAAGGAGTAGATAATGACTATAGTCATGGCTTACATTCCTTACATCTTTAAGAAGTGCAGCAATTTACAGCAAACAAGTTTTACATTTCATCCTTGGGTTTCATATTGCAAGTGCAAAGTGCTTACTGTAGGTGATACTCCACTGTAGATAATTGTAACACTTCTGTTCAGGCTAAAAGTACTTTAGCATTTCATATTTCAGAGTGACTGGACAGGATTTCTCCTTTAAATATTGACCAGAAGACTGCTTTTCCAATAGTACTGACAGAATATTGGGGTTTTTTTAAACTAGTAGATAAGAACAGACAAATAATATATGATATGCTTGAAATATACACAGCCTGAATTCTTCATTATTGTTAGATGTATTTTCCTATTCCACTTGCATAGAAATTGTCTTCAAATATTATTTAAAACTGATATTTAATAATGTGTCAAAGTACGCCAGGCACATGATTTTTCAGTAGTGTAATTATCCACTGAAGAAGTTAAGGCAACCTGTACTTTTGATACATCTCATCTATCTCTCCATGCATATTAGCTGGCAGAAAAAATATTCTGGAAGATGTGGGATGACAAACACATCATTGTGGAGGTCGTCTTAAGGTTGCTGGCCTTAATGATGGCTAGTATTAATATGGCTGGATTCAGGCCAGTGAGATATGAATATGACCAGCCTTCATTAAGACTGGTGTTGGTAGCTGCTATGTAGCTGGGTTCAAGCCTGAGGCTGACAGGAACTGTTCTTGTGAGAATAAAGCTAGGGTTAGGTTTTGGACTGAGGCTGGCTGATGACATATGGTGAGGACGTGTCCAGAATTTGCCACTGGGCTAGGTACAGGATTTAGCAATGGTACTCTTTGGTTAGGGTCAGGTGTGGGACTGTTGGGGAGGACCGAATGAATTAGGTTTGGAGTTAAGGTGGTTCACACCAGCATAAGAAGGTGATTTATGGCAGGGTCTGCAAAGGGCTGGTGTCACCCACAGACATCTGGTTATTGCTGAGCCAAGGTTTTACAGGGATCACTGAGCTTGGGTTAGGGTTAGGCAGACATCGATTGGCAAATGAGAGTTATGGTTGAGTTAAGAAGGATTAATTAAGCAAGGCAGCAGCAGCAGAGCCTGACTGAATACGTTTAAGTTGAACTTTATCTCTATTTCATAGCCAAGAAAGGGGTGGAGATGAGAGCCAGGGTTCAAGTTGTGTCAATGAACAAAGTATAATTGAGGTTGCATCTGAACTGCAAGACTGATGTAATCTCCAGTTCTACCAGTACTCCGGTAGTCCAAAGCAGGTGATCTGCTGGAGCACAGCAAGCCTCCTGCCTTGCTTCAGCCTCCTGGGAACCACTTCCAGTAAGGCAAGGACACAGTTCCCCATCTGGAATGGGGAACACACAAGTGACTAGGAGCAAGTAATTTATACTTAGGTGTGAGTCCAAAAGGGAAGATAGCAGTCTGTTTAGGTTGAACACTCAGGCTAGGATGAAAGCTAGGAGTAAGATCCTGGCCAGTAAGATCTGATGTTGAAGATGTTGATGTAGAGCAGCATCCAGTAGGGTCAGCTGAACTAGATTTAGGGCTGATAATTGACAGGAAGGTAACCAGCTCTATTTAAGTCAGAAGTTGTAGTGATTACTTGTTTAAGGCTGACGTTGGATTGTGGCTTGGTGAGATTTTGGGCAGAAAGGTCTGATGAACTAGAGAAGGTTACAATAATTCAGAGTAATTAGCATTTCAGTCTGCATCATCAGGACTGTTTTAGATATGAAGTTGGCAAAGACTGCTTTGTACACATTTGAGGTCCAGCTGGGTAGTCAGACTTAAATGATTCCTAAAAATAAGCTTGCTAATATTTAGATGCTGCCAATTTCAAGGATGTGCAGGAAGGTAAGAGCTGAGAGGTCTGATCAGATGGCTAGAAGAAGCACATCTCTGGTAAACATAAGGAAAGGGCTCCTTAGGGGGGGTGATCTCCACACCGTCTATAAACCAGAGGAGTGGTGAACCAAGCTGCTTTTTCTTACATTGG